CTCATGGATAGGCGTTTTCAAAAAAGTATTTACCTCCTACTTCAATACAAAGACACAGCCAGGAAGGAGGTAAATTCAGAATATTGATGATTATTTCTACAAATAAGAGGACAACACACTATGGATTGGAGGTTTCCTTTGAAGGAAAGCAAGTTTGCTTCTTTTTATGCAAGTCACATTTTAAGAAATCTTCATAGGAAAAAAGAGAGTGGCTGAATCACTGATAGTGGATGCAGAGTTGAGAGTTGGAATCCCTGGTTTCTCCCTAGATACTAAACACATCCTAAATTCCACTGCCTTTACTTAAAAGACTACCAGCAATGTGATGCTGTCACCTACCTGTTCAAAATGTTTTCAGTTTTGCACGAAAAGCACTTGGTATTATTTCATACTTTAAACACTCTGTTGCTTTGGCAAATCATTATTTCAAATTTTATGTTAGTAGAAGCATTCTTTAAAAGTGATTAGTAAAAGCAGTTCTGTAGAATTATGGCAGTAAGAAAAAAAGATCAAAAAAACAGTACCTTGGCATACAATTGCTAAGATGTTTCTGATTTTATATGAATAAATTTTACTTACAGATGAGCTATCCTTTCTCCTTTTAGGGGAGGCAGAATATTCCCTGAACCAATCAAGCAGTTATGAACTATAACAAGGCACTGCTGCACATCATCTCTTGAAAGAAAGAACATAACACAATCACTTGAACAGTTACGCCAAGTGGCTGGAAACATAAAAGTGACAAATATGTCTGTTTTCATAAGGTTCTATAACATGTTTTTAAAGCTTTAATGGTTCTAACCACAAGAGGATACACTACAGAAAAGCTGTGTTTTTCTGATCCAGCCCAGTACTACTGCGGAACAACATTCCAACTTCATTTTCTGAAAAATCATTTTGAAAATTATACATTCTGAAACAAAGGAAGCCACATTGAAATGAGAGAAACTGAAATGAGAGAAATTTATTTTAAAATGATTGATTTCACTTTTTTTTTTTTTTTTTTAAAGTTTTATCTATGCTGGGATCAGATCCTATACCACCATTTTTCTCTCTGTTCTCCAAAAGCAGCTAAGTCCTTTCTACCAGGGGTAAGACGAAGGAATGCTTTCTCTGAGTGAGTATGTTAAATTGTGTTTTCTGAACAGACCATAACATGAACACTTTTTTCTTCTTTCTGTGTTCGTAGAAAATTATGGTGTGTTGTTTAGGTTCTTCTTATTTAAAGCAGCACCATCTAATACAGAATGATAAAATTTGGCCAATCTTTGGACTGAGCAGCTCTGTTTTGTTAAATTATTCCTTTCAGCTCTCCTCTGAAAATTCTGAGCTGAATATGCCCTAGTCACCACTACTTAAAGTCTCTAAATATTTGTTAAACAAAGACCACTAGAATTTTTCATTTAATCTTTTGCAATATAAGTCTTATTCTGAACCTTCTAACTATGTTTAAAACACTTAAATTCCAATTATCAGTCAATTGAATACTGGAAAAAAAAGAACTTGAGAATTCTAGCTTCAGCAATTTTAAGTACTGGAATTCACAGCAGTAGCAGTAGTTTACTCAGCTGCTCATTCACACCAGTTACACAGCTACAAACAGTATTCTCTACCCTTGCGCTTTTCCTGTCTTACCTTCCAACTTAATTGCCAAACATTTGGCTATATTTGTCCAAATCATCATAATTTCTATTAAGTAGCTGATTGAAGCCTTGACCAAATCAAGTCCCGTTCTATTACAAATTAATGGCTTTACATATAAGGTATCAGACAGAAGAGAAACAAGAAAAAGAAACATTTAAATACGAAACATTATTTTTTTTCTTTTAGTTTAAGGGTACTTTATGGATAACGTTTCGGGGAAGTGATGTGTTGTGCACAAGCTGCATTTTACAGTTAGAGAGCAATGTGAGGATCATAGATAAAAATATCTGGAAGCCTTCACACAGAGCAGCACTTCACAGCATAAAGCATAATGTCATATGCTGATACCTATGAGATACATAACATTGCAAGGGAGAGAAGCCTTAAGATGAGAAATAAAGAAAGGGTAAGGTATAATGCTTCTAAATAGTTTTAGCTATTTGTTAGTCTTCACTGCTTTAGCATACACTAAATTCACGAATATCTTGCACACAGGAAACTTTAGTTTCCAGTTTCATGTCAAAGTTGAGCAAGACTGGCTAACACTCTTCCTTGCTTCCATTCCCTTCTGCTCATGATGCCCTCACTGCTTTCTGTGAGGAAATACTTCATACTGAATCAGAAAGCTATTCTGGTTAAGCGCACCAGTTAACCCACCCCACCTTTTACTTGCAGGGAGGTAGCGGGGAGAAGCAGATTACAAAGCCTAATCAGTCTGTGCTCCATTTCATAGCTTCAGAACACATACTGGTTGTGCTAATGCAGCAAGAGGCACTCCAGAGGAAGAACTTGAGTCACCAAGAAAAACTAAGTGGAACCATAACTGGTAGTGTAAATACAAAACATAAAACTAAGCATTGAAGATATTGATTATATTTGCACAAAACCTTTTCTGTTTGGGAATTTTTAAGGCATGTCTTTATTCAAAGTAATCTGTTACCTATTTTAGGAAATGCACTTCCACCAAAACATAATTTAACAAATCAAAAAACTTGGAATGCTACTTGCAATAATATCAAAAGACAGTGCAATAGTATTTCACTCTCGCACTTCTACAGTGCAAATACAATTGGCAGTAACTACCAGAAACAACCATTAGAGGATACACAAATTCTCTGCATTACATACCACCACTGACCTGGACATTTCCAGTTTTCCAGCTGCATATTGCTCTAGCCTGGTGAGCTCAGGCTGAAGGAAAGTATCCAGCAAATAGTATGCAAAGTTTATTTCCTCAGGTGAAGGAACATGCCACTGGATATCCAAGTTCCACAGGTCACCTGGTTTACCCCAGTCCTACAAGAAATAAAACATGTCCTATTAATCAAAGCAGAAAGATTTTCACTTAAAATTTAATATTAGTAAATAACCCCCACACAACCTAGCTAGTGCTGTAAAGTAGTTATTTAAAACAAATACGACATTGTGAAACCAAATAGAAATCCTAAATGTCATATACTATCTACAAAGTACCTTGAACACAGTATATATTTGAATTTAATAACAGGCCAAGGACAGCACTGTCCTAACTGAAAAAATAACTTCCTCCTCCCTTTAGCTAGGCACAAATTGAGACTACTCTTAAGTTCAACTCTGCCAATTCATACTCCTACAGAGCACACAAAGAGGCTAGGCCATTTTGTAATACTCCTTAGTAGTTTTGAACTACTACCTAGAAGTCTGGCATTTTCTTTTAAAATAAAGGTTAGTTTAAGTGGGAATTTCTATACAACACTAGGTCATCCCACAACAAAAATATGCATGTTTAGTAGTTTATATTCTTATATTTTAAGAGACATTTTTGTCTTTTTATTCAAAGGAATATCCGGTCCTACTTGATTTTCTCATCATTTCATAGATCTGCACCGGCTTTTAGGAACAACCATGAGATTTTTCTGTTTAAAATTGTATACAAGAACATTTTTAGGCAAAACACAATTTTATACTCAAACAGGCCTTTTGACTAATCCACTGATTTTCTGAGATGCTGCTAAATCAACCCCAAAGTTATAACAGCAGACCAGCACATTGCTCTTTTTTCAAAAAAAAAAAAAAAAAAAACCCCCTAAAAACCTTTTTTTAAAAAAAAAAAAAAAACTTAAAGTTTTAAAAACTTTTAAAATATTGCCACTTCTACTTCCATTTTTATCTCAAGATGAAGTTCAACCTGATGTCACTATTCATTTGTTATTCTGTCTTTAAACATAGTATTGCCTTTTTTGCAGCCATTCTGTACTGGAGGGTGCATGCAAAATGAGTGAAAATATTTCATTACTCACTACAATCTGATGGCATTAATAGGAAGAAAAAACAGAAAAGAGGGCAACTTTCATCCGCAAAGGTAGATCAGTGTTAGTTACAAATACTTCTGCAATTATAGGCTAAAGGACAGCAACATTTCCCTTAACTTCAAAGTTAACACATGATAGCAAAGTCTCAATCCAACACATCATATTTTATAGCATTACAACATAGGAAAGGTACTTTTAACTTTGCACTGCCCTGGATGCAGTCATCATGAATGATGTAATTTAATTACACATGCACACTCCTCAATCGTGTCACACTATAAAATAACTCACAATCAGCACTCACTTTTTAGCTCTCTCTGTTTTGAATATTCAAGTAACTTGTAATTTGCTAAAGACATTTCAAAGCTTAAAGCATTTTTCAGTTACACTTTCCATAGCCGCTACCTATGTTTAAGATACAAAATAGCCCAGGATTGTTAAAAAAAGTCAAATCCCCTAATCCTAAATAAATGAAAATCCTTGCCTTGATAGGAAAGTATTCAGAAAGAGGCTTGTCAAAGCCACCTGGCACACTGCAGTATTCTGTGGGGTAGATAAGTGTAGCAGAACGGAGAAGATGGTGCAGTAGGTTACAAGACAGAATGTAACCCTGCTTACAGGTTAAATGTAGGGTTCGCTGCAGAATCTTCCCAAGCTGCTCCCTGTACGGTAGCAACTTCATTCCATCCACTCGAGTGATCTAATAGGAAAGACAAACATTTGAGAATGTAACTGAAAGACAAACAGTTGAAATGTAACAGATTCTGTTCTGGACTATAGAAATGACTAAACTGCTCAAGAGAGCCTGTAGCAAGTTGCACTCTCTATGTCACACCTAATTCAACTCGGAGACTGAACTTGCATATGAACTACCATTTCTATTGCAGTTGAAAAAGTTGAAGTAACACACAACTACTGCAATACTTAGTGCTTCTTGATTCCAAGTTTTCTATATCTATTCATTAACACTGAGATTCATTTTAGAAAGTTTCTATTAGGAAAGGATGTTAATTTTTCCCTATCCTGACCCCTTTTTTTTTTCCTAACCTCAATTACATACATCAAAATGCTTCATTTTTTAAACTGTACCTAGCATACCTTTATTTTCTTCAAACACTCACTTTCATCTTATGTTATGCAATATCTTTCATACAACTATGCAGGAGCAGAATTTTGCTGTTCATTTCTTCCAGGGGCATTAAGTAGGATTCCCTGCTGGCGAAGGCATGCAAGGTGGGGGGAAAGCACCCTGTGCAATACCTCTGACAAGAGCTGAAGATTCCAAAGTAGCTCCTTATCCAGCTCTTCATCACGCAAGACATCATCATCTAGAGAAACAAGCACTGCTATTACTATGCTCCAGTCAGCTTTAGGAAAAGGAAACAATAAACCAGATTCTTGCATCTCAAAAGCTTACTCCCAACCCTTTTTTTTTGTAACCCTTCCAATCCATCCATTCTTCACCTCAGCCATCTAGAAGTTACTTCAGCACACTTAATCCCTTGTCTACCTTTTGGTGAGCACAGGAATAAGTTAAGACATATTTTAAACTGCTTATTTTTTGAAGAACCTTGTTCTTGTAATTTATTTATGTCTTGATAGTAAAAACTCAAAGGAAAAAAAAACATAGGCAGAATAAATCTTCCATCACTGAGATGAATTTCGGAGAAGGAAGAGGAAAAGGAAGAGGAGGGAAAAGAAAAATATTCATCTTTTAATGTTTTAAAAAAAAATAGACCAAAATGAAGCAAAATACTAGAAATATTTCCAACTTACTGACGGTAAGGTGAGATATAACACTGCAGCAGTGGGGTACAAAAAGCTTCAAGGATTCCTCTGGGCGGCACTGGAAATAGCATCATAAATAGTCCATCAAGAAAACCTCACACCTTATATAACTCAATGCACACATTGATAAAAATTCTTCAAAA